GGAGGCACCTTTGATCGAAGACTAGTGACCTACGAATGTCCTCTACTCTTAACGGCCATGTTTCGCATCCGTAAAGTAGGACAGAGTTAAACGCTGCACAGTACACTCGTCCTCTACTTGACAAGCGGATATCTCGCCTGTGCCGTAAGTGACGCACGTTGGCAAAAGCAGATCGTGCCTTCTCTATCCGAGTTGGTTACCATGAGTAAGCGCATAATCAAAGAATAACAGGAGTCACTTGAAATAACTCTTTTCATTCGGCGTATTAAAGAGAGCAACATAGAGGGATGGAGACGACTACAATAATATAATTGAAATAAGTTTCCAAATGTGAGTCGTTTTACAGACTGTACATCATAATATAAGTGTATTGGGGAAAAAGGTTTACATATCCACATTCACAAAGTGATTCACCACAGAAAATATTCACTCGTTTTGTGTAATGCGGAAAGAAACCACATTATAAAAGATATAAGGGAAAGGCAAACAGATATTTAGGTACGATTTGGGATTCATAAGAGTTGTGTAAAACAAATTCACTCAGTCATATACATAAGTAGACCTGTTTGCGTTTTCATGCCCTATTAACATAGAGAGGTGAAATCACATATAGTTTCAGACAGTAGTGATGAAAAATATATTGATGAAGTTAAAAGCGTAGAATTCGGCAGACGATGAAGAACGGATGCAAATGTGTCACTTTTAACCTAAACGAGGAGAATGTTTTGATTGTATTTCTCTCGTTGAATTAGACTGGTGGTCAAATATCTTGTGCAAGCCCTCAAATCAAACGCAGCTGGTTTAGTCAGAGCTCATGACGAACCGTCGTTGTCATTGCTCACTTCAAGTTGTATTAGTCAAGATGGTTAAATTTCCTCATTCCGAAATCAAACTAAAGAATTCCAACCAAAGCGAGCTCATCACAAAATGTAATCGAATAGCAAATTAATATATATTTGATTTTCATTACAACTAATCAATTTCGTTATTTGAATTTAGCCGATGAGCGAAATTATTTTTGAAACCTTATTATGACTCTAGTTTCAGCTAGAAGAACTCAAGGCGTAGGGAAAGAAATTAGAAGTATTTCACAATGATTGTTTGATTACTTTTATACTTCTTTTAACTTATTAACTGGTATCTTGAATTTCAAGTATATTTACATTGTCAAGGTGAATTCTTCACTGATTCATCTGGTAGACGTTTAATAAAACGTTTACGTAATCGAAGAGATGATTGGAGTTTACCAATTGAATATAATGAATCACAAATTATCACTGGTAATTATTATCCAATTGTCAATAGAATTATGCTTAAAAATATTCTACTTGAATGGTTCAATGAGAGAATTCCATTCGGTTTGGCGATCTATACAGATCGTAGTCAAGGTGGAACAAGTTTAAACGATGGACAGTTGGAATTGATGGTTCATCGTCAAACTGTTTACGATGATGGTTTAGGCGTAAATGAACCTTTAACGGAATTAGGAGTTGATGGAAACGGTGAGTTGCATACAAAGTTCAGGTAAAACGTTCTTTTGTATAAGCAAACCAGTTCAAATACCATGTACTTATTGTCAACTACTTAGTACTTCATGATTTTTTTCAAATTTCATAAAGCTTTGTCATTTGATTATTAGTGGGGATTTATGAATAAGGAAAATCCTTCTAGTGATCTTAACAGTAGAATGAAATCATAAACATAGATGAAATCATAACCATTTTGCGTTAGGAAATAGATTCGAGCATACACTTTTCCGAATGAACAACTGGATCTATTCAATGTACAATGAATCGGAGTAAGAATATCATGAATCTGCTACATGTTGTTAAAAGAAAGTATGTATTGATCTTTTGGCAGACGACACATGGAATTCGACAACAATTTCGTTTCAACATACCTGTATGAACTGGACCAAGTGTAGTAGATAATACTTATTGAGATCATATATTTCATCAAACAACTTATAAGAGTGTTTCTATATTATTTTATTCAAACAATTGACATAATAGATATTTTTGGAACTGATCTCTGTGGATTTTTGTCATCAAAATTATCTCTGGTAAACTAAAATTTCACACAATGTTTCGTTTTATTAGTGCATTGAGCTAGTGAAAACTACTTTCCTAATATTTTATTCCAAATAAATCGAAACAAAAAATCGTTATTTTGAAAAGCGAATTTCTTTCCTTTAAGAGGTTTGAAAGAATGTTGTCTTGGGATTTGAAAGGTTTAACCACATCAGTTTTGAGGAGATTTTTAATCTAAATAGGAAACACGTTACTGCCATTCAAGTATTGAACTACATTCACTGATATCCATAGACTGATGCTACTGCACATATGAATTTTTACAAAATGCAGGGTTCAGTCAGTTGATCAAAGATGTTGCTTCTGTACTGTTGCAATTATAAGCTATCTACTGTGCAACTGGAATCCATCAAACTACTACCGGAATAAGAACAAATATTATTCATTCTTTCTCTTTGTTCCTAATCTTAATTGGTTAGGAGTTTATTTGTGGCTAGGAATTTGAGTTAATCAATACCAATCTATCCTATATTTAGTTTTGGGTAATTGAAAGTGCTCACTATCCTTCCGGTTATCATTATTATTATCATTATTATCCGGTTATCAGTATGGCATAATTTTATATTCCATAGGATATAGTAACAACAATGAGAACGATAACACTCTTCTTCATTTATTTTTACCAAATAGGTCTTATTGTTCGTGGCACACATCGAATAAGATTTGACGAATTGTATTTAATTGAGAATGAAGAAAGAAAGATTGCTCAAACAATGCGACGACCAATCATCCCAGTATTTCTACCATCTAATAAACAAAGTTTAACAGACCATATCAATGGATGGAGTGGGATCAGAAAATCTTTACCAAGTAATATTCACTTACTAAGTTTATCATCATGGCCAGTGAATGTTGTTGACAAATCAGAAACTAAAAACCAAATTCTTGTAAGATTTGAAAATTTACACACTACGGATCGCTCTGAAAGTACACATATAGATGTCAAGTATTTGTTCACTGGTATCACAATAACCGATGTAACAGAGATGACATTAACAGCCGATCAATTGAAAGAAGATGCTGTTTCACGAAGGCTTCATTGGCCAACGGAACCGGAATTTCACTCTTTTACGAAAAGTTATGTAATGAATGCATCGAGTATTATTTTGAAAATTCCTCCAAATAAAATAATCACATACATATTAGATTATCAAGTCGACGATTCTTCACAAATTTTTAACTGAACAAAGCATGTGGAACATTTATTTCGATAACGTTTGTTGTATTTTATAAGAGCTCAGTGAAAGTTTTTTAACACCACTTCATTTTAAGTCTGTAAACAGAGTTGTTGATATTATTGTGTCGTCGAGAAACATTTTTGTCAGTCAAAAGTTTCTTCCACTCTCTGTACATCATCGTAATGACACCTCACTTGAATAATTGATGCTTTCGGAAAGAAAGAGAATTTTTGTAACTTTCTTTGAATTATTTATTTTTTAGAAATTGAGTCTTAACGGTACTAATAGCCTTATCCGGCATTACATATTGAATACAAAACGGAATTCTCAACAGGAAATATTTCATTCATTTTTGTTTACAAAAAGATCATTGATTGGCAGTTGGATGTAAGTAGTTCGCGAATCGATATCTTATGACAGATGATTGGTTTCTGCGCAGATTGACAACCCAACCTCATGTCTCAAATGTACTATTGTTTACTTTGTGAAGCAATTAATCGTCAACACATTTAATGAGCACCTGAAGCGCTTTTCGCGATTAGTAGACATAAATGGCATGTCCAGACAAACGAAGAAGTAATTTAGTCAAATACTTTGATAATAGGAAACACGTTTTGGGGATATGCAATAAGATCGCTTGAATGGTAGTATTGCAGGAATATATAATTTGTATGTTCATTTAATTTAATACTGTTTTCATTAGTAGTAGAAATGTAGTATAAAGATTGTGAATATTACCGACAATATTTATCGAGTGTGGATTGCTTTATAGAGTTTGGTATATATTGAAAATAATATTCGGCAAAATAAATTAAATCAGAGTGAAAATCAAATGGGTATTAGTAAACTGATCAACATTTGATTTTCATTAAGTGTTTCAAATTCGGATTGTGTGTTATTCATTGATTCATATTGACTTGTGTTAAATCACATGGACAGTTTGAATTTCAACGTAAGCATTTAAATGCTGTGTGTTCAACATGAGATTTAAAGGTAGTTAGTGTGATCCATAGTAAATAAGGGACATTCACTTGGTTGAAATGACGAACTTCTATAAGCTACACTATTGCTGAAAATCCACAAGCTCTGAATGATCGTATGCGGCCACGATCGGGACGAACTGTGTCCACCTAACCTCGTAACTCATGCATCTAACGATACGGCTGATCGATATTCGACATTATTTGGCTTAGGCATCTAACACTAACAACAATCTCTCAGTTGTCAAAGCAAATGAGTAGTAAAATCAGGCTCTTCGCTGGTGTTTTTTCAGGAGTTATTACTAGTAATTTGTTACATATTTATAGGAAACTGACGCATCATCTTTTCTTGGATTTTCTAATGTGTATTTTAGTGGTTACAAATGTTGCAATGTGGAATAATTTTCAACTTGAAAATGTTCTTCATTTGTCAACTCTTCAAAATGAGCTTCTCGACTGAATGACTTGTAGATGCTACCTCTTCTCAATTAGAATCTTGTATATGACTTCTCGTTAGGTGAATCAATTCGTTTAGTAAACCGTAAAGTTACCAGCTTAGTAGTAACAGCCAGTCGTTACGATAGCGTGATGAATAAAATTCCTGGAAGACTCGATAGGTAAGTCAAAACAACAGGATAATGTAAATAACTTGAAAAAATTACTTTTGTTGTGTATTTACAAAGACTGTAGAGAAGTCGGTTAATGTAAGAAAAAATAAGAGGTGTTTGAATGAAGCGAAATCTGAATAGGAACTGATCAGCATGTTCGAAATATAATTAATCAAGACGATAACTCATTACACAGTGTCTTTTTGAATAAACTTATGCACTCGGTTTTAAATAATATTCTAGTCATGGCATATGTCAGTGAAATGATGGACACCATCTTCATGCGCAAACATGCTCAATATCTGAAACCGAATATTTACTGTATGAATATTTGGATATTCGAGTGAAAGATAGCATATCTTATTTCTTCATAAAAATAATAATGAATGAATATATCATTATCACATAATGCGCAGACAAGCGCATTAGCAGACGAAATCAGACTAGAACATTCGTCTTATTGTTAGAAATATAGGTTAAAAATCAAAGTTTCAGTTTGCACAATTCAATGATTCCACCTGTAATGCTGAAATGTTATTAAACGAACAGGATGAATAACGTTTACTTGAAAATACAGGGTTTCTCATCTTTAAAATCATTGGTCATTTCACAATTTATAGTCTCTCCTCAAAATTACGTTTACCTAGTCTTTTGACATTAATCAAATTTTACCAATCAAGTGAGTATCAGTTCTTTCAGGTTGTCAGGTGTGTACTGTTAAAAATAAGATATCAAAATGACAGCTAGATTGAGTGATGTTTCCTGAGGATTACTTCCAACCTTCTTACACTTAATTTAGTTCTTCCCAGGGACGTTCAACCGCCACCACAGAAATAAACAAACATGATATTTACTGCCATTCGATTTACGACCGCTTTTAAGAATCTGCTTCCTAAAGAAAGTGAGTCGATTTACGTATTACACAGTAGTAACGGCTCAGACTGAGAAGTTGGACTCCATGAAACCAAGTTTCATAGATAGATTAAGTTCTGTTTCGAATTCAGGCGTAACTCGTTGGTGAGTTTCCAGTAACACAGAACTTACGTGCAAATGTTCTTACGGACTACTTTCAACCACGTGCGTAGGCACATCCCGTAGATCAGTTATCATATTTCATAAAAGATTCTATTTGAAATGAAATCTTTTTACCACCAGTCACTTTTCTCACAACTAACTAAATCGTTTAAATTATATCGATTAGATTTATGTCATACTTTCTGTAAACATCAGTGTCTTTTCAATTTGTATCTAGACATAATTTTATCCAGTTTCAAGCACTTTCAAATAATTCATATTGATATAAACCCCTTTTTTGAATTACTATTCATGTTGAGTACAAAATGTATAATTGAGTCACATTGTGTTGTTTAAATAAATGCTCTTAATTATTTTCATGTGATATCGGTTTACAGCTTTACATATGTTTCAAAAACACACTGAGTAGTTCATCTAAAATATTATACATTTAAAAACTTTATCATATGCACTTTTATTTATAAGACACGGTCAAAATGATTTACTTAAATATACTTCACTTGACACATTCAATAAAACAAATTTACAATTGACTGATCATTTTGTGGTCATGACTGTCAAGTACATTAGGGCTTCCTTAGTATCGAATGAGTATGACAAATCAAGATGCACTGTGGTCACTAGTTAAGTAACTAGCGTAAGGATAGATTTGGTTAACAATTTTGAGCCGTCCTTCACGAAACGCTTCTGGTATCTGTTCAACAATCAGAAGCTAGAAATAATTTAATTTCTTTGGTATATAAAATTTCTTATGGTTAATCGGACCTTATATCGTCAAATTATTCTTTGTTGAGAGAGGCAAAAACTAAGTTTGCCTGTTCGAATTCATTGCGCTTTTGTCACTAATTGATACCAGTTATATAGCTTACGGGTTATGGTTAGTTTGTAGTGCCTCCACATATTTTCTTGTTCGCTTACATTTAATTTGATTAAGCACTTGAGATTAATTTATTTAACCAAGCCATTTGTATTGCAACAATTTATATGTACCATTCGTTCTTATTATTGTCTGGTTTGCACGAGCTCACATGACGTGTACCACCTGTCATTTGACCTTGTCAATTATTCGTCTCCTTTATTGATGTGTGCCTATCTTGCTTGTTGCACGTCTGTCTTGTATTTGTCCGACTATATTTTCTTAGTCATGCTCTATTTTCCTGAGTTGACTCATTAGCCTTCTCTAACGCGCTTCGCCTATTCATTCGCTTCCCTCGCCCATTCGCTCGTATTGTAATTCTGGGAGTTGGCCCAACACCCTTCCCCAATGAATCTCGCTTCTTTCGTTTTATTTGCTGCTTCTCCGATTCGCTTTGTGATGTGTCCCAAATAAACCTATTCATCACTACAAGTTCACCTTCTGACTTACAAACCGTCAGACACTAGTTAGTAACGATTCTCTAGACGAGCTAATCACCGGGCATACGAACAATGGTGAGCCCGTCGTCGAAATCGGCCACCACAACAAATGGCTTGGTTAAACAAATAAATCGAAAGGGCTTAATTGAATGAAACGTAAGCGAACTGGACATATGTCGAGGCACTACAGTTTGTAGACATTAAGGCTGAAGTATTGAGTGTGGTTTTCCAAATTAAGGTTGGCCGTTTTATAACGAACTAATGTCAGTGTTGGTCTATTGATTTGTCATTCAAAGAATTTAAAAATGAATCTCTTATCTAGCTTGACTAAACACTGGTAAAAAAGCACGAAACTAACTGAACATGTGATTTATCTTCAAAGCA